TAATAATAATAATAACAAAAGCCATTCTGATAAGAAATCTTGTTTATAGTTACTTTTTAAAAGTTATTACACATTTTCAATTCCGATCTAGATTATTCCACTGTTTAGCCCCCAGAAATGCAATTTTAAAAACACGGTTGAGAACAAGAGGATCAAATAAATATACAAATGGCTTGCCCAACTGAGGAGATTTTGGCTAATGTAATAGCGCATCAAAGCCAGCAGGGGGCGACGTAAGAACACGACGTGACCTGGGTGTTGGTGCGTGAGGTGACGCCTCTGAGCTGCAGGAGCCAGTTCAGCTGTCAGCAAACATAAACTGGTTGTCTAAAGATAATATAATAATAATACACCGGACCCGCCGTTATAAACATTAAAACCTATATGACGATGTGTTTCTGCTTGGATTTACTCATGTTTCTCTAAACAACTATAAGTGGGTGTAATTATTTTTACGTTTAAGTCATATTTAGATGTGTTTGAATTTTTAATACTTGTTAGTATTTTGTTTTCCCTTGTTCTGAGATAATTTAGGCAGTTATATTTTACAGCTAACTGTGAAGAAGAGCCATATCGGTCCTGGACAACCTTTCCGGTTTCTCCCTCCCTCAGGTCACTCCCTCCTCCGGGCTGTCAGCAGCTCTTTACGCGGTTCAAACTTCGCTAAACGTACAAGTTCCGTCGCTGGGCCCATTTCTGCTGTTTTTAAAAACGATAAGCGGGTTTTTTTTAATAGTTTATTAACAACTGGATGTTAGGGCGGCTTTCCAACTTGAAGGAGTTGTCGTATTTTGCTGGCCTACAGAAGGAGCAGCGGGGAGGAGAGAGGGGAAAATGACCAGCTGAGGACTGGAGGTCTTGAAAACTAACAAGGCCTGCTTTTGTTTTTTTTATTTAATGACTGATCAATGCTACCACAATGGCGGTAAAGGTAAGACTGGCAACTTTTCAGATGTTTTTTCTACCCGTAATGCTGTACAATCTGCTGTAGTTTCCACTGACAGTTGTTTTTTTTTTTTTTTCGTGAGCAATCATGGACTCGTTCTCAGAGTTGTAGTTTCTTTAGTCAGCTACAAATTTAAAGCTAAACGCATTTACGATTTTTTTTTATTGTCCCTGACAATAAGCGTTTGACAAACGTAAACCCACGTATTTTTAAACAAACATGGAAAATGTGTCTCATTAAATAAAAAGTGTCTTGTGACATTTTACTACCTCCCCGTTGCGGGTCATTGCTGCGACTGTGGAATTCTGGGAAATGTAGTCTTTGATGTGAAGCAGCATTAGAATCACATCTACCTTCATAATGAACAATAAAACTGTTGTTATTAAGGGGGAAAACAGGAAAAAATATGAATTTCAATGCTTTAGGTGACCAATGTTTACCAGAACGACACATTTATGTTAAACGATTCCGACTTTGTGCATTATTTACTGATTCTACTAGTTAATGTTTTACATTCATTACTTGCTGCTGGTTTACTTATAAATCTGTCCTTGAGTACCAGATCTCAGTTGGTTATATTACCTATCTAACCCTAACCACATTATTAAAAGTGTGTGAAAAAAATCTGTTAATGTCCAGCTAATATTTCTAAAATTTTAATTATGGCTTAAGTATGAGTATTTTATTATACAGTAAATTGAAGTTTTGGCTTATAAAGTATACACTGTCAAAAAATATCTCAAACATATAAATTTTAAAGAGCAATTTTAAGCAAACCCATTTGTTTCATACAACGGAGTATTAGGGCCACACAACAAGATTTTTTTACTTATGAGAATAATGTCATAATATTACAACATTAAAGTTGTATAAAAATAAAGTCATAATATTATGA